GTGTCCGACTTATCGAGAGTGACTATGTAATAAGTTATGAATGCACCATTATTACTTTCAGTCACACTGGTCAATTTTACAGCCACATCATAATCAGCCTCTCATTTACTATTATGACACATAATAAAAAATGTTCACTTTGCCTGGTTTTGTTGCAGCATGCCTCAAATATCCACACTCCCCACCTCAGTGTCTGAAGAAAAATCAAATTCACCAAATTGATTGCAAATTCATAGCAGCTGGAACACCACAGAATACAACACATGGACTCACAATCCCTTATTATTATTATTATATGATCTCACAAAGAAATTTGTCATGGATACAAATTCAGCTAAATTCATTCTTTTGCTGGGTATTTATGATCAGGCCCTTTTTGATTTCTTCTTGGGGAAGACTTTTCTTTTTGGTTCCTTTTATGTATCTTCTGACTATGCTGCCAAGTGTCAAGTGCTTTATAATCCTCAGAATAAAATTGACTTTGGTTTGCACTCTTGAGTATTTTGTGAATCTTCCTTCTTCTCATAATGGTGGAGGAAAAGTTTACTGACAGGATGAAGATGGTGCCATGGATGCATGCCACAGTGGGCAGGGATGGTGTGGATCTATTGCTAAAGTCTCAATTACCAAAAAGCTCTGTGTTTCTTGTCCACTGGGTGCTCAATCCTCCAGACAGAAGACAAACTCAAAGTGAAAGAAGAGCTGCTCAACTAACTTCACCACAACCTCAGGCACATACACAGGGAGAAACTCTTATGGCTTATCCACAGTAACAGTTATCTACATGTATTAGTATTAGTATTAGGTATTGGCAGAATAAATTTAGGAGACCTACCAAGGACTCTATCTGAGTTTGCTCTTGGAAAGGACCTTATGCAACATGTTGATGCATATTTCAGGAGGACAGCAATAGACTCTATTCTGAAAATAGTAATAGTAAGAGATATTTCATACATCATCATTGTAATGCTGTGGTCACCCAGCATCAATAGTGGTGACTATATTCACCACCCAGCATTAGCAATTCATGGGGAATATAGAACAAAAATCCAATATTTTATTAATGTTGCTAATAAAAATAAATTTTGGCTTATTAAGAAACTAATCTAGCCACTGATATTGATTCTTTTTATCTAGGAGAGAATAAAGAGTTAACTCAGTTTTTCACTCAAAAGCCTAAGACAGTAGTTCAAACCAATGTCAATTACTCACTAAAAGCACCTAATACTAATGAGAAAGAAAAGACAGAAAGTGAGATGGAAGGTACATTATTACTTTCAAAATGTTATCAGTCACACTGGTCTCATAACCAGCCCCTCATTTATAAAATGTTCATTTGGTCTGGTTTTGTTGTAGTCTGCCCCACTTGACAATTTAATATGGCTTCTAAAAGAAAGAATTAACACATTCCCAGCATGCACAAGTTATTGGTGCTTGGAAAGTTCTCAGAAAAATTGCTCAGACATTTGATCACCCTTATACAACTGTCCAGAAAGTTGTTAAAACTTATATCATGGACTTATTAAGCCTTCTCCTTGAAAGGGAATAGGAAGACAAAAAATAATGTCAGAAAGGAACAAACGCACTTTATTGAGAATTATTAAAAGGATAGAAAAGTGATGCGGACGGTCTTTTATTGTACATTTGGCCGAAGCCGAATTCTCCATTGTGGGAGATTATGTCTACGAAAATTTACGAAGAAGAAACGCATACGATTCTGATGCCGAACTGGCATTGCTGTAGAATTAAATTTCCTAAGCCTGAGGTAGATGGAGAACAGGTGGATGTTAAAATTGAAATCCCTTAAGATTGGGTTAAATGGATGGTGGAATAAAAGGAGAGGAATGGAGTTATCTGCCAACTGCGATTTGACGAAAAAGTAAAAATAATAATTGCCGTTTGATTTGTCGTCATCGCATGGACGGTCACTCAATTCTTGTCTGATAAAACTACTCACCACTAACACAACTCGCTATTATCATAGCATGTGGCCACAAGTTCTCATGCATTGCATAGTTAACAGCAGCAGCACGATCACCTCTGAGCAACATTTCCTGCAACTGTCTATGGCTAGAATTAGCTTTTGACAGTTAGTAAAGTCAAGCTTCATCCAGCATTCTTTTGCTATCGTTGTCGGCGGCATACGTAGATTCCATAGAATACGTCTTTTGTATGTGAGCATTTACCGGAAATTCGGTGTAGATTGCCAGAAATAGTTAGTATTAGTATTAGTCACGTCAATCCCTTTGTGCGACCGCAAGTTATTTAAACGCGTTTTATCAGCGTGTCATGATCATTGTCATTTTCCACAGCAAGCTTTTAACCCTTACTTTAATTTCGCCGCGCCAGGTTGTCAAGATGCGTGAATATGTCGCCAATTACGTTACTATTCAATTTCCATTTGATCCATATAAATGCCAAGAGGTATTTATGGAAAAAGTCGTCCTTGCTCTGCAGTCAAATGCAAACGCACTTTTGGAAAGTCCGACTGGAACCGGAAAGACGTTGTGTTTGTTATGTGCCACACTTGCTTGGCGTGAAGCGTATATGGCCCGTCGACAGCTAGCTCAGGCTTTGTCGCGAGGTTTAGGAGACAACTTTAATGATGACTTGCGGCGTTCTTTGGATATGACGGTATCGGCTTTACCAGACGCGGGTAAGATAATTAAAATTGCATTTATTTGAAATGTATCCATTGTGTTTTGATTAAAATAACGTAATGCATGTGTATAACGAATTGATTTTATAGAGGATTATACTAAGCCTCCCCCCACAATATATTATGCTTCTCGTACCCATTCGCAATTGTCGCAGGCAGTTAATCAATTGAAAGCAACTGCGTACAGGTTAGCATCACGGTTGCTTTTTTTCACAAATGAACTGAACTCTATACATTTGATTTTTATTTCCCTTTTCGTTTAGCCCCAAAGTTTGCGTTTTGGGCTCTCGGGACCAACTATGCATTAATAAGACAGTGCAAAAGCTTCCTTTTACTGCTGCTCGAAACGTGGCCTGTCGTCACTTGATCAAAAAAACAAAGGGTTGTCAATTTCACAAAAATGTCAATAGTATGTATGATATCTATACGCGTGATAATTGGGTATCTTTAAGCGTCGTTATTTCACAGCAATAAATTGTCCTTGCAATTTTGTAGTTGCAAAAGTGAATACAAAGTTTGAGCGAGAAATTATGGACATTGAAGAAATCGTTTCTTTTGGGAAGGAACAGGCGTAAGTCTGGATGCATTGATGTGTGTGCATGATGACTATTTAAAGAACATTTTCTGACCGATTTCCAAAGAGCTTGTCCTTATTATCTCACACGTGAAAATCAAGACGCGGCAGATATCGTATTTCTGCCCTACAACTACTTGGTTGATGCCAATGCTCGCAAAGCACAGAACATCGATGTGAACAATTCCATAATAATATTCGACGAGGCCCATAATTTGGTCCGTAGATTCTCTCTTGGGTTCAAATATTTGTTTGTAATATCACCTAATGCTTTCAATGGAACCAAATCATAGGAAAGTTGCTGTTGTGAAGCCACATCTTTTGAAATGACGTCGACAGAGATAGCTGGATCTCTTGACGAAGTGCAATATTGTATGACCGAGACATTATCCCCTGGCAACATAAACTCAAAGGAACTTGAACCTTTAAGAGGTAATTAGCACGTATTAGAATTTTAGCACGTATTAGAATTTTATCACGCCATAGTTAAAACTCGGTAAATAACGATTTCTCGTGTTTCTACATTGTACAGATGTATTGGCTAAACTTGATAGTGAAATTAGACATCTTGACGTTCACACAAGACCCGAGCAATGTTACCCAGGAGAAAAGATATACGAAATTTTGGATAAGGTATGCATGCAGGCTTTTTTTTATCAAAAATTGCAAAGACGCGTTTACAACTTGACGTTTTTTGGCGGCCGTAAGGCACAAATCAACTACAATACTTTTCCAGGTTTGAAAATTCTCATGGAAGAAGCGGCCAACCGGGTCTTGTTAGGTAAGCCTATAGAAGTTCACTTCAGCACCATGTGACTAATACTCAAAGAAGTATTTTTGTAGATCGAAAGCAAAGCTCTCGATGCATGCTTGATCATCTCTTATCAGCTTTGAAAATAGTCTTCGGTGACGCAGGTGAAACATCAGCCGATCGTTGTAAACAGGTGGCAAAATATTACAAGGTAAATGTTACAGATTACTGTTTTGCTTCACTGTTGCCGATTGTGGTTATAATTGAAACGTTGTCAATTTATTAGTTGCATGTCTCGCTAGAAAAGAAGGAGGGTGGTCGATTATCATTGGGTAATAGATACTATCATGGGCCGTGATTGTTTCCACATTTATACGTTATCCATATCACATATTGATATTCCGTTGACAATTAGGGAATGGGGGTAGAATTATAAGTTTTTGGTGTTTCAGTCCTGGTTTGGCTATGAGAGACCTTGTCAGTGGAAATTGCCGATCTGTCATTCTCGCCAGTGGTACTTTGGCGCCGCTGTCTTCGTTTGCAACTGAACTTGAGATGTAAGTATGTTTGTATCATGTTTTTTACGACAGCGTACCAATGAGTTACATACACATTAACGTTTGACTATTTTTAGTGATTTCAATGTTCGTTTAGAAGGTGCACATGTTGTCTCCTCTGATCAGGCAATGGTGTCCATCGTTTGCAAGGGACCGTCAAGAATTTCTTTAAATTCAAGCTATAACAATAGGAATGACGAGAATTATCAAGCCGATTTAGGCGAATGCATTAGTAAGCAACTCGCGAAAATATCTGTGAACATTTATTGGCCGTCTTGAACTAATGATCATACAATTTACAGTTGACTTTAGCAGAGTTATTCCGGATGGATTGATCGTTTTTTTCCCGTCGTATGGTGTTATGACAGATTGTATTAACATATGGAAACGCAAGGTATTTGGACAGCGGAAAGCGTTGTTATTCATAAGACATTGTACTTACGTCTTATGTTTTTTTTGTAGCACTCTCGTGGAAACCGCAAGAGTATTTGGGATTCGATTGTAGATATCAAGCAAGCGATTGTTGAACCCAAAAACAAACAGGATTTTGTGAAGGTTAGAAATAAAGCTAAACGGGTTGCTTTATTTTGTATGAATCATAATGACTGAATAGGGACTTTTTTTAGGCAATGTCAGAGTTTAATATGAAGGTTGCAGACAACTCGAATGGATCCATATTATTTGCTGTTTGTCGCGGCAAAGTTTCCGAAGGTCTTGACTTTTCCGATGCTCGGGGGAGAGCAGTAATTATAACAGGAATACCGTACCCACCATTCCGTGAACCAAAAGTAAACAAGTCTCCGTAATGATATTATCTAGCATCACAACCTCATAGACACTTTGACCTTTTTAGGTGGTATTAAAAAGACAATATTTAGACGAATCAGCGAGAAAACAAAAGACAAGAGCGAAGGTATTGGAAAAATTCAAAACTTTGATCTGGATTTATTGTTTGGACCGTATTGTTGATCTGACTTTATTCTTTGAGATTCTAGATACTGTCGGGTGATGAGTGGTATCAACAACAAGCAGTGCGGGCAGTCAATCAAGGCAAGTTTTATTGTGCACTTTGTCAATGTAGATTCATTAGACTAATATGCACATTTTCGCGTTAACTTCCAAGTTAGCCTTGGGAAGGGTTATTCGTCATAAAAAACGATTATGGTGCAATACTTTTATGTGACAGCAGGTAATTCATTGCTACACTCTTATTACGCATGTCGATGGATCTGATCATTCTTCTCCCATTCTGTTTAGATTTGCAAACTCGAGAAATTTATCGCAATTGCCCGCCTGGGTTAGGCCATTCGTGAGAGTTCCAAAGGACTATAATGAAGTGAACAACCAATTAACATCGTTTTTCCAAAAGATGACAACAGTAAGTCGAATTACGAATTTAGTTTTATGATTAAAAATATAAGTAGTCATGTAACAATTCTACGCGTCTTTTGTTAAGTGCAAGCGTGAAGTGAAAAGTCGGGCAAAAGTCAACCAATCACAAGGTGTTAGATTACGCAATGATGTCCAGAAAGTGCAGGTATTTTGTCTAGTGCATGGGAACGGGTAGGATTATGACGTAATTCATGTGACCGTATTATGTCGAAATAGGAAATTCTCAAACATTTAGAACAAAATCACACTCCTGATGCTATCCCCACAACGAGCACACCGATAGAGATAGATCTTACAAAGAAGCGCAGGCCTTCAATCACAGAATTGCCCTCAGTTATGGTAAGTAAAGGACTAAAATTATTTGCAGAAGTACCATTACTCATATATATATATGTGTATATTGTATAATAGATCCATAAAGTTCGTGATACAAACACAGATGCATCAAAAAAGGCATTTCCACGGCGCAATGCACTGGGGATGATAGTAACTAAAGATAAATAAACATACTTTATCTAATATAACGGAATTGTAATGTAATTGATCCACTATTTGAGACTAGTGCAAACCTTAACCCAAAGAACAGTCATGTGTGACGAATGGAATCGATATAAATACACCCTTAACTTAAATGGATTGTACTTGATTCTCCCGTAATTATGTCATCCTTCACAGTAAAAACTGTCCCAACGACTCCGTACGAAGGGCAAAAGCCCGGGACAAGCGGACTACGAAAACGCGTGAAGGTTTTTCAGCAAGAAAATTACACAGCAAATTTTATTCAAGCGATATTCGATGCCATGCCATCGCCTGGACCCAAGGGGACTACGTTGGTGGTGGGCGGGGATGGAAGGTATTATTCAGAAGAGGCCATTAAGATCATTATTCGAATTGCTGCCGGAAACAAGGTTTGTTTTTGGGAACCAAAAATGGGCTGGATAACGGGATATTGAAAGGCACTCGTTAGTATTAGTACTGGAACATTTGATCTACGCAAAACGTTTAGGTTGCCAAGTTGATTATTGGCCAAAATGGTATTCTCTCTACTCCTGCAACGTCCAACATTATCAGGAAACGTCAGACTAATGGCGGGATAATTTTAACTGCATCCCATAATCCTGGAGGTAAAAACATTTATTTGTGTGCAATCGGATCAAACAGATTGTTTGTTATCTACGCTGTTTCATACCATTCGTAATTGTTGCGTCGTATTGTAAATAGGCCCTGATCACGACTTTGGAATAAAGTTCAATGGTAGCAATGGTGGTTCTGCGCCAGAGGCTGTTACAAATAGAGTATACGAGATATCTAGAAATATCAAACAATATTACGAAGCCGATCTTCCTGAAGTATGGAAACGAGAAGTGTAATTCTTTAACATTGTCGGTCTAGATTTATCCAAGTATTCATATTTTACTTTGGTTTCCAAGGTCAGTCTCGCTTCTCTTGGAAAGCAGAACTTTGGGGATTTCACCATTGAAATCATCGATCCAATGAACGATTACGTTGAACTAGTTAAAGAGCTTTTTGACTTCAACCTGATCAAGAACTTCTTTGTCAAGAATCCCAGTTACAAAGTACTAATTGACAGCTTGCACGGAGGTATCGTATCCGTTGAAACATATGTGTGCGTGTATCGTTCTATAACTCTGAATATATAATCAACCATTTTTTTCTTCTGTTCCATTCGATATTTAGTCACTGGACCGTATGCCGTACGCATCTTTGTAAATGAACTTGGCCTTCCCCGATCATCAATCCAGAATGATGTCCCGCTTCCAGATTTTGGAGGAAGTCATCCCGATCCAAATCTCGTTTACGCCAAGAGTTTAGTTGATCGAATTGAAGAAGAGAACATTCCTTTTGGTGCTGCTTTCGATGGCGATGGCGATCGGCATATGATTTATGGAAAGGGTGCATTTGTAGTACCATCTGATTCTGTGGCAATTATTGCCGAATATTCCAATATTATTCCATACTTTCAGAGTACGGGCTTGAAGGGTGTTGCGAGGAGTATGCCTACTAGTAGGGCTTTAGACTTGGTAGCACATGAAAAGAATGTGAATTTGTACGAAGTACCCACCGGTAAGTTATTCGCCAACATATCTGGCGTCATTTCTCGAAAGTGGATATTGATGAACACATGTATCTAGGATGGAAGTTCTTTGGTAATTTGATGGATGCAGGCCGACTATCGATTTGTGGTGAAGAAAGTTTTGGCACCGGAGCAGATTGTATCAGAGAGAAGGATGGCATTTGGGCTGTGCTTGGTAGGTGGTGTGAAAGCTCGTGGACTGACGTTATACGATATTTGTAAATTATCATATGATGTCTAAAATAAGCTATGCTATTTACAGCCTGGTTGAACATCATCGCTAAAGTCAACGAAACAAGACCTGGTTCGGGTATCAACGACATCCTTAACACGCATTATCAGAAATACGGTCGTCATTTTTATTTGAGGTAATTTCCTTGATCATCAAAACTCGAATTTTTACAATTAATTCAACATCCTTATTGAAACGCAAAGTATCCAATGTCAACAGGTGTGATTATGAAGAGGTTGAGACCGAAATAGCTAACAAAGTGATAGATCATTTACGTGACCTAGTTGGGCCATCGAAGGATACGTTTTTTGGTAAAACCTTTGGTGAATTCACCGTTAAGGATGGAGACGATTTTGAATACAGAGATCCTGTGGATGGCAGTATATCATCCAACCAGGTAATTACTGATATACCAGTCGGTGGCGTTTATGTTTTGCCCATATTTAATGCCGTTGTCTCCACTTTGACAAAAAGGGTATCCGTATATACTTTACGGATGGTTCGCGTATAGTGATCAGGCTTAGCGGAACTGGTAGTCAAGGTGCTACCATTAGAGTATACGTTGAGAAATACTCAAAGAATCCTAACGAATATGATCTAGAGACTCTTCCGGCCGTGCAAGGACTTATTGATGTTTCACTTGAGATTTCTAAAATCAACGAGATTACTGGTAGAACAAAGCCTGACGTTATTACTTAATTTAATTCTGTACTTATTCATAAGGATTGCATTCCGATATTAGTAAAATTATAGCAGATGGCTTGAACGCAAAGTTAATATTCTGATATCTGACCATCTTTATACTGTATTCATTACAAAAAAAAAAAGAGTCAAGATTCTCTCACTTCTTATCAACATCGTCAAACAACAAAAATCTATTTTCTCGACCCGTTCCGACGTTCTCCTTAATCTTGTTAGTCCGTCTCTTCGGCTCAATCTGGCTCAATTGGTTTATCTGCCCACTCCCAGCCGGATGCTTCTTAATAACAACGTACCCTCTCTCAACCACAACCTTTTCTTTTTTTTCTGGTTTCTTATCCACATTTTCGACCTCAACCAGCTCCTTTATCTTTAGAATCATGCCTGCGATATACGGCGTCTGAGCATGATAAACAGTCTGATGCAATTTCACGAATCCTAATGCTCGTACGACCCTCCTCAACCTTCTCGAAATTCCAATAACACTTCTACGCAAAGTAATTTTAAAATATCCCGATCCTGAGTTTTCATCTATTCGCGGAAGGACATTGGGTGGTGGATGTTTCTTGATAAATCTTTTGAGGACGGGGTCGTAGACAGAGTGGACGGCGGCTGGATTTCGAGGCGTGCCGTTAGCAAGACGGCCAGAAGACCGCGGAAGAACGGAAACGAGTTTTGGGCGTGATCGATGCCGGAGACGAGGACGGAGCGTGGATTTTGAAAAACCTTTGTCAACAGGAGTCGATAGGTTTCGAATTTGGGACTTGGAAAATGTGAGTGGATGGAATCGAGAAAGAATAGATTTAGGTGAGAAAGGTGGGAATTCACATGTTTGATGCGATCGGCGTAGTGGAAATTCGGCGGATGTGTAAAGGCCGCCGTGATGAGAGCATGTGGTAAATGTGTTTTTGATGTAATGGAACGCGAAAGATGGGCGAGTCGATAGAAATTTTCGGATCAAGCTCATTTTATGTAAAAGAAAGAATAGATTCGTGGTACCATGCGATCGATCAGAAATTGGTTACAGTAACGTGATCGCATGTATTGTGTCGCAAATTGAGAACTGAGAGCTTCCGTTGAACTACCCCAGGGATCACCATCAGCAAAATTTAATTTATATTAAATTTATGTTAAATTCAAATCTTACATATATAAATAATCACGTGTCCGTAGATGCTGCTTTCGTAAACCTCTACAACAGTCTTCAGACAGGGAATAACACAATACATCGTCATCATACATTTTATTCTACAACCAAAGCTCCTTCATACGTCATAACACCACCTGAGACAAAACCACGGGCATTATATAAACAGAACATGTATATATTACTATGTTCCCTTGGTTGCGGGTGACATATATCGATACACTTTAATTAGTGACGTTTAAACTACGATTTATACTCACGATCTAAATATCGATCTTGTTATTACAGTCTTTATCCCCTAATAACTCCTCTCGACCTGTCTTCAAATTTTCAGCCCAATGTAGAGACTTTTTTGTTTTTTACAAGGTTTTTAACTGCCATAAAACACTCTACGTTGCGTTGTACTTTTTATAATGCCCACTCCGCAATCACTGATGACTGGTTGAAGACGTCGTACAAACGGTCACGTTACTGTAACCAATTTCTGAAGATCTTGGGGTAGTTCGTTACTTTATTAGTAAATGTCCAATAGAAACGCAATTTACAACAATTATTGCCAAAGGAGAATCTTCATCTGAGTAACAAGACTGCATGCGATGTCTGTCTTATCTTTACAATTTGAAAGAAAAACTATGAGACTGCCAATGTTAATTAAAATATCGGAATCTGCCGCATTGATCTAGATGCCCATGCCGCAACCACGCCATATGGATCAATAGATATTGATCTATTGAGATCAACTCTAGCTTCATCATACCGTCTAAGATGACGATAAGTATCTCCCCTTCTACTTAACGCAAACGCATCATCTGGAGCAAAAGTCAACAATTTATTGAGATCATCCAATGCATTTTCATACTGGCAGATCTTGCGATAGACGTCTCCTCTTCCCTTCAAAGCGAATTTGCAACTTGGGTCAATTTCCAACGATTTACCGAAATCATTCAACGCACATGCATGATTATCAAGCATCCGATGGACTTCTCCCCTTCTACTCAACGCCCATACATAACTCGGCTCAATTTCCAACGCTTTATTGAATTCGCGTAATGAATTATTATAATTATGAAGCTTGTACAAGGCGGCTCCTCTTCTACTTAACAACCACGCATTATTTGGTTCAATAGTCAACGCTAGATTGAAGTCATTCAATGCATCAAAATAACATTTACGCTTGCGAGACACATCTCCCCTTCGACTCAATGCCCAAGCATCGTTCGGGTTGAGCCTTATCAATCTGTTGAAATCTCCTGTTGCTTCGCTAAAAGAACGGAACGCGTATTTGACAGATCCTCTCACTTTCAATGCCATTTTGCTGAATGGTTTAATAATCAATGTCCGTTCAACATCATTCAGTGCTTTGTCGTGCTTACCATGCCAGTAAAAGAGATATCCTCTTCTATTCAATGCCCAAGTATTATCTGGTTCAATCTCTAATGATTTGTCGAAATCCTCCATTGCGTTGTCATCCTGACCGAAGAAATGGTGAATGTAGCCTCTTCTACTCAATGCGTATGGATCTTTCGGTTGGATCTCCAACGATTTGTTAAAATCATTCAATGCAAGCTCGTACATATTAAGCTTGAAATAGAGACCGCCTCGTGTTCTTAATGCCCACGCATTATTAGGTTCAATTTCTAATGATCTGTTAAAGTCTTTGACTGCCTCATCATAATTCTTAAGTGTGCGGTAAACTTCCCCCCTTGCTCTCAATGCCCATGCACTATTTGGATCAAGCATCAATGACCTGTCAAAATCTTCCAGAGCCTTATCATATAGATTAATAGCATGATAGACGTCTCCTCTTCTACTCAATGACCATGCATCATTTGGTTCAATACATAAGGATTTATGAAGATCTTTCAATGCAAAGCCATATCGGCAACGTATGCGATAGATATCTCCCCGCCTACTCAATACCCATGGATCATTCCGTTTAATCTTCAATGATTTATTGAAATCTCTCAATGCCTCGGTGAATTGATTAAGCTTGCGATAAATCTCTCCCCTTGCGTTCAATGCATGTACACAATTTGGTTTAATTTGCAATGCTTCATTGAAATCGTTCAGTGCGTTGCCATGTTGGTTAAGCGTTTGATAAACACCACCCCTTTTGTTCAAAGCCCACAAGTTGTTTGGCTCGATTTCTAACAATGTATTGAGATCTTTCAGTGCATTCTCACATTGTTCAAGCTTCCGATAGATACTAGCCCTTACTCTCAGCGCCCATGCGTTGTCCGGTGCAATCTCCAAAGACTTGGAAAAATCAATTAATGCATTGTCATAGTTCTTAAGCTTGCGATAGACAGAGCCCCTTGCTCTCAATGCCCAAGCATTGTTTGGTTCAAGTTCTAATGACTTGGTAAGATCATCCAACGCATCGTCATATCTTTCAAACACGTGGTAAACATCTCCTCTTCTGCTCAATGCCCACGCGTCATTGGGTTCGATTTCCAACGACTTACTGAGATCATTTAATGCATTGTCGTATTCACCAAGCATTCGGTAGACGTCCCCTCTTCTACTCAACGCCCATGCGTCAGTTTCTTCAATTTCCAATAGACCATCAAAATCTTTCAACGCGTTGTCATATTGATCGAGCATTCTATACATGTCTCCTCTTTCCCTCAATGCAGAGACATTGTTTGGTTCCATCCGTAGTGATTTGTTGAGACTGTACAATAGATAACCATATTGATCGACTAACGAATGCTGACCTTGAGTTCTTGCCAACAACTTTAATCTGATGCAAACTTCTTTGCAAAGTGGTCTCTTTTCAGGATTCTCATCCCAACATTCTGAATAAAGCCCAATATATTCCTCAGAAGTTCCAAAACTTGGTCTGTCGCGAAACCCATTTAAGCGGAGTCCACTTATGTCAGCAGATGTTGTTAATCCCTCGCACGGTAGTCTTCCGCTTGATATTTCCCACAATATTACTCCTAAGCTAAAGATATCTGACTTTTCTCCGTGAGAGTAATCGGATTTAGTAAATAACCATGGATCTACATACGCAGCCTTTCCTTCATTTTTGGATGTAGATGCTAGGTAGATAACCATATCAGATAATCCAAAGTCGGTGATTTTGGCAACACCTTTATGAATAAGGATGTTATTGGAATGCTAGTGATAGTCAAAAGACATGTGTAAAAATTAGAAAACTCATAATACTGACAAAACTCCGAGATACTTGTAAGAACGTATATTTAATTGGCAAAGGCACAAGTTGACACGTTGGTATACATTACCAGATCTTTATGGACCACTCCCAATCCATGCAAATGCTTCAAGCCACTGGAAATACCCAAAGCGAGTGCAAGTTTGTCTGTCCACGACAACTCATGATAACAAATTCCTAAATATTCGCGTAATGTCCCCCCATCGGCGAACTCAAAAATCATGCAGTAATTGTCGAGCGTATCTGATAGAATGTGAATGAAAGCATTATTTTGCAATCGTTTGAGTGTGTGTGATCAGGACGCAAGTTTTGCTAGATATACCTTTGCTTAAACCCAAGAATCGAATGATACTTGGATGGTGAGCGACTTGTTTGTGAATTTGAAGCTACAATTTTATGTGTAAACAAAATAGGTGTCACATTCTGCGATTGTCTTAATAGCAACAAATTCTTCAACATGTCAAATCAGTAGCACACATGTCTGTAAAATTGTCTGTAGAATTCTTCTTTTGGTCTCGTTCTGTTATGTAATAGTGACTTTACGACAACGCCTTCGGAATGCCTTAATGTCGCTTTATATACTACTCCGAGACTCCCATTACTAATTACGGTATGGTCTAAAACGTGTTCCTTTGGATGGAATTTTATAGAGCCATTTTGAATACTTTTCTCTAACAATGCTTTGGAAGACATGACAGAAAGTCCGGCATTGTGTTCGTTATGACCTTATTTTATTTGACACGTTTTGGTCTGTGCCACAAGGTAACCATAATTTTTATTTTTGGAATTATAATAAGGGCTCTTCTAAATACGAGTATGGGCACCTCCCATTCAAGGCAGAGGTCACTTTCAAGATTGCCCGATTCAAGATCTAGACTTGCTATTGCGACACCAACAAGTTGTCTATAGTATTTCTAACAAATCTCTTTAACTTTTATACTATTCGCGCATATAATAAAATGATCCTATGCTTGCGTTGCAGGGAAGGGGAGAGCGTCGTTACCATCCTCATTCGTCAAATTGTCATCCAATCTGCTCTATTTTACTAGGCTCTATCATCGACTGCTCATTCTATTTGCATGTAATTCAATATTATTCACGTTTGTTCCGTGATCTGCGTGCCTGTGGTGCGTTATTTCTTGGTTTCAACGGCTCATGAGTTGCACTGTTATATATGCAAATATCGTCTCCATATTTCTCTTCTAACCATTTTTCGAGCATGAAGAGGTTATATAAATTGGCTTTAAACAGAAGATCCAATGCATCACCTATACAAAGTACCGTCAGTGTTTGATACAATTTATCTCCCACTGGGACAATTTTCACTCACCAATCCAGGGAAGCAGCCCAATAAAAGTGTCGAGTATTACAAGTCCTATCATCTTTATGAGTAGAATCTGAGGCAAGTCAGGGAAGAAACTTGTCAAGTGTATTTGGTAACAACCCATGAAGAAACCTGCCAGGTCGCCTTTAAAAACGCGGAAGACGACATGCTTTAATAGCCCGATAACTTTGTTACGCTGAAGCACGACAGGAATAAATTACTTACCCACTCCAGGAATCACCCCAATGATAGCATCCAATCCAACAGGAAAAGGAAGAAACGGGATAGAATCTAACCTAGAAAGCAACGCTGATTAGTAAAGACTATATTTATCAAGTTCACCTGTATATGCCTCACCATAATGCCACAGTCCTAACGCTTTCATATAGTGCTTGTGCTTCTCTTGGATTCTGTGGCCTTTTCCTCGGCGGAAATGGAATTTGAGTTCTAGTGTCTACCATGATTATTAAGTGGTGCTTAGTGGGGTGGTGAATAGGAGTATTTTATATGATTATGTAACATTGAAATAGACAGAAAGATTTCAGGGGTTATCGTCACGTGTCATGACTTATAAAAAGTGGTGCTTCCCCCAAACAAGAGAACATGCCCTTTCATATGGCCATATACGACTGAAGTACTAAAAAAAAACTGCGAAACTTCAGTATTCAAAGTTGCCGCTATGTGGCAAACAAACGAGAAACTTCTGACTGGGACTCATGGTTGCAAGATTCCTTCTCACAAATATCAAACCCAATTTTTTTATAAAATACCACATTTAAAAACTTTTTCGTTTTCTCAAATACAATACAAAAGACGCAATGGAAAATTTTACCGAAACCGCTAGAATTTCAGAAAGTAATGATGACATGTCTGAAAACCGCACGTCCCACTAAAGCTCAAACTTACCGCTACGTCCCCGAGGACGTTGGAAAGGGATGACTAGAGGATTCGGCTTGTCTGGCAAATGGGACAAATTTAAAAACCGCACCTCCACTAAAGCCCGCGGACGTTGGAAAGGGCGAAAAGGGGAACTAGAGGATTTGGCTTGTCTGGCAAATGGGCTAAATCCCCTGAAACACCTGAAGAATACGCCTCTTCATTCATTACATTATTTGGTTCAATCTCCAACGACCAACCGATTCCCCAAAATTCAACATATTTGGAAGATGGACTTGGGAATATTACGAAATTCCCCTGAAACACCTGAAGAATACGCCTCTTCATTTATTACATTATTTGATTCAATCTCCACGACCAACAAAATTCAACATACTTGGAAGACAATTGTGGGAGTACTATGAAATTTCCCTGAAACACCTGAAGAATACGCCTCTTCATTTATTACATTATTTGATTCGATCTCCAACGACCAACAAAATTCAACATGCTTGGAAGACAAACGTGGGAGTACTACGAAATTTCCCTGAAACACCTGAAGAATACGCCTCTTCATTTATTACATTATTTGATTCAATCTCCAACGACCAACAAAATTCAACATACTTGGAAGACAAACATGGGAATACTATGAAATTTCCCTGAAACACCTGAAGAATACGCCTCTTCATTCATACATTATTTGATTCAATCTCCAACGACCAACCGATTCCCCGCAATTCAACATACTTGGAAGACGGGTTTGGGAATATTACGATATTCCCCTGAAACACCTGAAGAATATGCCTCTTCATTTGTTACATTATTTGATTCGATCTCCAACAACCAACCGATTCCCCAAAATTACCAGAAAACGCAATCGTAAATTTTCAATTTTTGATAATTTTAATTATGTATTTAAAAAACATGTATTCACAATATATTCGAGCAAATAAATGGATCTATAATATGTGTGATGGCTAAAATAGAGTCTTAAGAGATTGCGAGCAGACGATGATCCCAACATGCTACGGGTCTACGTGACTTTTCGTATGGCAGGTCATAGGGCGTCACATTTCGCCGCAAACCAGGTCATATTAGAGACTAACGCTAAAATTTCCGGCGGCAAAAAAACAAGTTTCTAGGCCAATATAATCACTGGTAGCAACATTTAGGTATAAGATTTGTCTAAGGACAATGGTATCAAAAGCCACAGTCTCTTGCCACCATATTAGACTAAACGTAAACTATCAATCGGCATATCGAGTATAAAGATTAAAAGTCTGGTTGGGAAGGAAATTTCGATCAGGAAATTTTGATATGCAATGCTCAATGTAGCCAGACCACGTCAGCTTTTCTCATTAAATGAGGATATTGATTCCATCTGACGAACTTCGATAATGAAATATGGTTTGGTCTAGGATAACTGAAGGAGATTGATCCGTTTAAAATGTGACGACCCAGCGACAGTACGATCCTTGCATACGCATTTGAGACAATATAAGCCATTGGCTGACTTGAGATGGATCGTTCAAGAAAGGAGTTGACCCATTGGATCGGGCAAGGTAGGAGAGTAAGCTCGGTTGAAATATTCAAGAATGTTTTCTTTTTTGCAAGCCGCGAATACCCTTTTAGGTTTGCAGTTATTATTCAGTTACTAATAATTAAAAATAAAAATACAATAGATGCGCAAACAGCCGAAAAGGCTAAATGAATAATAAACAGATAATTAGTTTGGATGAATGCAACCAATAATCGGCGACAAAATGTGTATGGAGACAGTACAATCTTCCTCGCTGACACCCTTCCCCCAATAAACGTGATTCATCTCACTTACCACCCAATATCATTTTGTACATAGCGAGATCTTTAGCCTTCTTCTTTCTCTTCTCCACTTCTTTCTGCATAGCCTCCAGCTGCCGCCCATAAATGGACCACAATCAGTATACGTTTCTGCTGCATCATTGCCAAGCCATTAAACTTACCGATTGTTGGTATTTTTGCAATGTAGTTTTCCCCGTTTCAATTCTTTGTTGTAATTCCTTAAGCCTGGTTGACATGTTTTCGCTCATTTGAACGGTATCTTCAAGTGCTGTGCTCGTACTTTCAACAGAGCGAGTACGCGACAGCAAGAGTGATTCAGCCAAATCCTGTGCAGTTGAAATTGAAAATAAAGTACTTTGTTGAAAACAAGCCGGTGAACTGGGGGATGCTCACCTTTGTTTCTCGATCTAACTCTCGAAACTTTGTTATGTATGATTTAAATTCTTTTGTCCTTTGGTCTATCGTGTCCTATAAAGCCGTTTGTAACAGCATGGTCAATACGACGAAAGAGAGCATCTGCTAAATTGCCTATATCTGTAACTTACTTGTAAAGCGCAGATATCCTCTTCATGACGTTTACATTTATTAACTAGATCTTTTATTAAATCATCTGCACTTCTTGTCGTTCCAGAATGGAATACGTCAATTAACGCATCACCACCCATCGTAACAATCACTTCTTTCTGCTCAAGCAAACAGCTCTTACTTGTGATTGTCATCTTTCTCATTCTCGCCCTCATTCTCGTCTTCACCTTCGCTATTGTATTCCATTGTTTCAGACTTCATCATTTCATCAACAGCTTTATTCGGGCTATCTACTTAAATCATAGTAAGCAGGTCAGACCCACCTCAACTATCTTCTGCTAATCATCACGACTGTCGCTTTACTGTCAACAAAATAGTATGGACACTTACTCCGCATAGCCTGCTGTTTGATGTCACAGAAAAATTTCAATGAATTATAGAACATTCTTTTGTCGTTAAGGTTCTTTGATCGGAGAGCGAGTAGAAGGCTCCCTTTTATTACCAGTTGAAATGATGTTTCGTCTACACATAAAAAACAGTTGATAAGATATAAGTAAAATATATATGTTCCGTATGATTTATTTCCTATTCATAGCTATGGCCAACCTATGTTAGCCATATTCCAGAGAAGACTGCAAAGTTATAGTCTCAACCATACAGCCCATCCACATTTGCCAAACTCACCAGAACCCTCTCCATTGTCTTCAGCCACCACCTCGTCAATATCGGCAAGCCTATTAAACTTAAGCCCTCTAAACACTTCTTGCATGCTCTCCTTTATATCTATTTCACCGTCTCTCAACTCATTTCTTTCTTCAAAATAGTCCCTACACCAATCAAACGCCTTCCCTTCTTCGTTCTCAAAATCCGCCGTCTCAATCCCATATTCATTCACTTTCATGAATACAAAGGGTGCATTTCCGAAACGAAAGACAAACAATTCCGTAAACGTGTTTGATTTACATCTTGGAGAAGAACGCGTGTCCTGTTGAACTAACATTTGCTGTTGATCCAAAGTCTATAGAGACATAAAAATACCGTATCACGAATGGATTGTAACACATCAATAGACATTATTATTACTACTATTTCTCCGGAGAGAATCAAGGCTCCATCAAGCAATTCCCACATCAGCTGCAAGTGTAAGATTAAAGTCTGATTGCCCGCTATCAAAATACTGTATGTATTATGTACGGGCTTAAAGTTGGTGATATTTTTGATTTTAAGGTAGTTTGATCATAATAAAAATATGTGATCACCTGTTTAAGTCAGTAACCCCCCTTATCGGGAAACAGTAAATCTGTTTATAAATCTATAATAGCTTTTGGTTTGGTCTGTATGAGGAAACGAAACTGTTCATTTATTTACAATTCAAAAGCAACAGACGCCAAATATGATAATTCAAGAAGTTTTTATTTCGGGCTTTCTCTTTTTAAAACTTTGCCTGTCATTGATTGAGTTTTTGTTGTCAATTGTCAAAGCTTCGGACAAGTTTTCGTAAGAACAGTGACAGTCGGCATATGAGATCGTACGTTACATGCGCGCGCGCTTTTGTTCCGAGTGTACGATTAATTGTACGCATTTTCGGATCCGCCATTCGAATGCCGACAATTTTAAACATATTTAAAGACGCGTTCCCCAGTCTATTGTCATTTCAAAATCGTAAACTCATAAACGTGTAACACTACCACCACCGACAACACCAAAAAAGGTTCAAGCAACAAGAAACTCTTTACCCACACATGGTCATCATCAACAAAGAGACCCTCCGACGAGCACGAACTTTCCCTGCAATCAAAATCGGATATTTCATTACTCTTTTCTAACCATAATTCCATTATCACTTCCCATGTTGGCCCATCACAATGGGTTTGGATAGAATCTCAACCCCTTGAAGATAAGCTTAGACGTTACATAAAAGCTCGTGTCAAAGCACCTACAAGCGATATCAAAGAGCGATTGATGAAGTATTAACTGCCAGGTACGATTGTTGTTCGTTCCTGTTTTTATTTATTTAATTTAGTTTAATTTACAGCTTCAGATCATGACACAGAAAGCTCCTCTCAAAGTGATGACAATGATGGTGGTGGTGATAAGTATAAGCCAACAAAGCGGAAGTCAAAGCAGTCACCTGCGCCTGCTCCCAAACGAAGAAGTACACGTCTTGCATCTCAGAAGGGAAAAACCATAGGGACAGGATAATTAACGGATCAATCATATACCAGCACAGTTCGTCTTTATCTCGACAGTAATTTGTGCGCAAAGTATTCCAACAACCACGTGGAATTCCGCATATAGTCTGAGACCGTTATCATTTCATAATAATAAGTAGCCTGTTCGTCACATATAACGTCCAATTGCAAGTTCACACATATTCGCAAAATCAATGAATTGGAACTTTCATGAGTTTACGAGACGCAAAAACGACTCTGCGAAACCCAAATGCAGTTTCCTTGACCCACAACCCTCACATAGTACTCTCCTAAAGGTGTAGCCAATATGTGACATTGGACGAATTATTCGTATATGGATAATCCACTTTTATAAAGGACAAGTAGTTCAAAACATAAGAAGAAAAAGGCCTCGCGACTTGATAAGGCAATCTTTCGGATACGACGAAAAATCAAACACTAATTAACAATATGATGTCATTTTGCCAACGTCTGGTGGCTAAATCAGAAGAAGTAAGGGTCCATATTTATCCAAATGAGGCAAAGCTCGCAGTCGGTGTGGGAGCGTTCAAAACTAAGGCCCGAGATGCACAATGGCCTAATTGTGGATGAAAATGGCGGCGCTTCCTCCGGGCTGGAGCCTTGATTCTCTTCGGAGATAGTAGCTCGGATAACGAATTTGACTATAGCAAAATTTTTTCTGGTGCTTGACTAATGAAATTTCCTGGACATATCGAATTCAATTAGTTATCTGCGATAACATGACTAGAACTCTGTTAATTTATTGGTTTGCTCTGCTTAAGTAATGGTGTATATGACATATTCAAATTTTCAAGCTAAAGCTATTGACATTCGATGCGTAATTTTGCATACAATAAAGGTTTTGTTTGAACATGCGTCTTAACGTTGTTCCCAGTCTACTTTTTACATATTCAAAATTTGCTGTGATTTCAAAGTGTTACCCTTTTATAATGAAGGTATACTGATAATTTTATAGAACTTCCTCACAAAGAGAAAACCTGGGTATAACGAAGAAAAACAGAAGCAGGTTCATTGTGTAGTAATGCCTACTATTGATGTGTGTTACAATCACATCCGTTGTATACCATAAAAGTCAGAGCGTATATTTGGCGAGAATTCACGGAATAACATTACATACGAATGATGTATTATGATATCACAGTAGATGGATATATAATTCAACGGGTAACTGTCCGATTTACTACAACGTAACATGCCAAAATGACTAAAGGCCGCATCTTTGTCCTGGAAGCTGACCGTCCAACCGCTTTAGCAACAATTAGGGCTCTTTATACTACTGGATCCCATCATTCGAACTGCCGTATAGATATAACTGCTCTTGTGTCTGAACATGCGTCCAAGGAGGCCTTGGCGGCCCTTCAAGAGCTATCCTGCAAGATCGTCACCATCACCGATCCACGCAGTGTTTCGTTTGAAGGTTGTACCAAACTTTATGTCGTTGGCTCCCCCGAACGGCTAGATTCATTAATTCCGTACATCGAGGCAGCCAAGAAGGCATCGGTTCAGTTCGTGTTGCTTCAAAGCGTGTTAGCTGCGGATGAACGGGGTGATTATGGTAGGAAGTATCTGAACGCAGAAAAAAAGCTTATGGAACTGTTTGGGAAAAAGGAATGTTCATCGTCGGAAGAAAACTCAAAAGCAAGGTCGCCAGAGGATCATAAGAAATTGCATCATCATGCTTGGTGGTGTATTTTACGCGTTAGTTTTTATGACCATTACATGTTTGCCTTCAAAGATGGGATTAAGAAAGGAGTTTTGGAATTGCCCATTGGGGACGGGAAGGTATGTCTCGAAATAACGTATACAATCATCAGAGCGGCAGTTATGTTAATGTATCTTTACAGTTCAAACATTATTTGCGTAATACAAGTTAGCCGACACTTTGATTGCGTCACATTAGACACTGTTGTCACAGTTTTCTATTCATACTAACATGACTTCTTTTCTCCCCCCACATATACAAGTTTGCGCCTGTCTCAATTACAGATGTAAGTAATGTCCCGCCGTTGGTTTCCCCAGTCTACTTTTCTTTCCGTTATATTCATAGTTTTTACCATCTCACTGGTTAGATCGGTTATGTTTCGGCCAACATACTCGACAAATCGGAGAACTATTATTCTCACATATATACCGTAACAGGCAATGAGCTTTTCAGTGGCCAGCTACTGGCTTCTCGATTGTCAAACATTCTTAAGCATGAAGTGAAGTATGTACCGTCTGAGATGGCTCATGTGGAAGAAAAGTACTTGAAGAAGCACATTCCGAATGAACTCCTCAGAGAAAATGTTATGACTTTGTTCGATTTAATTAAGAAGGGCAAGTTTTGAATATAATTAGTCTTATAACAAGTTATCTTTCTTTGGTTTATGCTACTGATGGTATTAACATCCATTTCTATTAATAGGTCGATTAGAATACGTCAGCCCTCATTTTACGGAAATCGACGGGTTCACACCAAGAACACTAGAACAATTTATCCTTGATTACAAGGAAGAGTTTACTGCGTAGCCAGTATTGGATACAATTGAGTTCAAATTGTTGTAAATTAAAAGTACAAGAAATCGCACCATTGTCTGTTATTTCGTCTCAATAAACTCTCTCATCCTTGCAATCCTTTCAGTCACATTTTCCTTTTCATCACGTTCAAATATAATGTTACACATTGTTTCTGCAAAATCTTCGATAGTGTCATAATACCCCGGTTGGAAGGCTGTATCGTTGTGTTCTCCGCGCAGAAACGGTCTCCATCGTTTGCGAGTCTGCGCTAGCTCATATAAAGCCTTCATATGTTGAGGCGGGACAAGGCCATCTCGTGAACCGGATAGAAACAAGATTGGGACGCGTTCAATTTTCGTTATTGCCGTTTCGGATGACCAGATTTGATGACAAAGAAAAGTAAAGTGGCGGAGATGCGGGAAAACTACTGGTATCATTTTTGGCTGGTTTTCAACAGATCAGAATTCCAAGTTAAAAAATTAGTCCATTCAGGTCTTATGTAGCAACAGCCATCAATCTTTGGTTTACTTACAATACTCAGGAATGTGTTCTCTACGATTAGTGCATCAACCTACGAAAAGAAAGATATGAATAACCAACTCGTCGGGCTATCATCAAGGCCAATTTAAAAAAGAAGGGCGAATGGGATTTTTTTTAACATGCCTTATCTTCATTACGGGAGACTAGATCAATTGCAACAGCACCTCCAATAGACTGACCAAATACTATAATTTTGGTATCTCTAAGAATATCGTCGTTTTTCACATAGTCTAGTATTGCCTTGAAAAAACAAAACGTGATTAATGTCTTTATGCAAACAGCGGTAGCAACAATCGTGTACGCTGTGTACTCACCTGAGCATCTATACGCATGCCTTTTTCATTAGGACTGCCTTCACTAAGACCATAGCTACAAAGAAACCAACAAAATTCAGCAAGGATGCAAACACATTCTCATAAATAACGTTACTATGTATCATGGTTATCTCTTACCCTCTGTATGAAAGCATCACTACGTTCCACTTGAACTTCTTGTAAAACACCTGCGCTATTGGCAAACGATGTCCCTTATAAACAAATCAATAACATTAGCATCGAGAAGATATGAAAACAAATACTTTGGGCAGAGCGCATCCACTCACCATGTTTCCTGCATTAGCCTTGAATTGGGGGGAAAGTCAAAGAGAAATGATTAGATCTCACAGAGTTGACTGTCGATACACGAAAAAAGAAATTAATAGGCACTAACGTGGTAGTAAATAAGCGTTGGTGAATTCCTGGCCACTTCGTCAGGCACTTGCTTGCATATATACGCTTTTATACGAACGTTATCTACTGTCTTTAGCGTCACGTCCTCATATTCCATTTCGTAAGTTGAAGGCTTTTCAACCTGTACCATTAAAAAACGTCAGGAATGTATAGAATGAGCAATCTCTCACAATAAATCATTTAGCGTTCGATAAAAATAAAGTCAATACTTGCGATTGTCCTCGATCCTGTTGGAAAACTAGCGGGATAAATCAACATGCACTGGCAAGCATATAGCAATACAGCACCGCTACAAATAGCTAATCCACAGGTATTGGCTAAAAACTGTATATACCACGGTATACTGTCGGGATATGGAAACATCTTGAGACTAAGAGAGAGAATTGTCAAGCCGTGCTGGCTTTTGTTTGTTATTGGCAGGATCTCCGCTGTGTCACAAATATTCTGTTGTACTTCCGGAAATTAGAACTTTATTTATTGTCACGGCTGATGGTGAAATCGGCTGATGGTGAAATCCACGTGATCTTTTTTATTACCTAATAATCGTAGGGGA